CAATTTTGCAATGTCATTGAACTCATAAATAGTGCGAACATTATTAATAAGTTCGAAATTAAAAAAATAGAGACCAACAAACTACAAGAAAATGTGACTTTTTGTGGAACCAGAAATAAAGCCACTAATAGCATTAAGCCGTCATACACAGTTTTGCCCAAAAAAGTGCTCTAAAGGGTATTCGTGCACAAGCCAATATACTGATGGCTCGTTTTGGAAAACGTACTAACTGGCTATAAAAATAATATTGAATTCCCTATTAGCAATCAGGAATAAGGTAAATATAAAAATGCCTATAATATATAAAAAGGTAAAGATGTTAAGAAAATTAGCCAGCATATTCCTCCGGAGGAGACAAAATTTTATGATAAACTGTACCATGATGTTTCAATACACTATAATAACTGTAACAATAGCCAACTTCTCTGACTAAATGACTTTTTTTAATTCAAAATTCCAAAACAAAGTTTTTTTTTAATCAATAACATATAAGGTAATAACAATAAACAATAAGGTGTTTAGTTATTCAATACCTTTAATATATAAATTCATTTCAGATAATAAATCTTTGCAACTTATAAGATGCACAGGTTTATTACTATGAAATTGTTTATTTTTAGTTGTATACAACTCAACAAAAAACAAGTTTTTAAAGAATTCAAAATATCCAAGATATTTTGCTTCTGAAACATCTTTTTTTTTTTTTTTTTCCAATCAGTCATATCGAAATTCTTTTCTCTAGACTTAAAATTCCTTTTTTGTTAGCATTAAAAATAGCTGAGATATTCAGTTTTTTTCATTATCAAACAAGGCTGTGAGGGCAAGTGAGGTTTTTTAAATAGTTTATTAAAATTATGGTTTCTAAAAATTTGGTCATTTAGAAACAAACTGTTCAAATGTTTTTTTGATCGTTTAGGACGATAAAAAGAACATTTTATGATAAAAAGTCTAAATTCTTTTAGCTTTTTGAGTTGTCATCAAACTACTAGCTTGTAGCTGCCATTATTGTTTTATTTATAGCTGCCGTTGTTCCAGTTTTTCCGATTAAAAACGCAATAAAAATTTTAGTTTTGATCAGTATATGGCACTCATATACTAGCAGGATGCATTAGTAGTTAGTCAGATGCATTAGAAAAAAAAACTTTGTTCCAAACAAGATGCTGTTGTTGCAGTTTCAAGCCCTCGATACAAACATAATGGTTTTTAAATTTGACCCTAATTCTTTTTGCTCTATTAAATAATGATTTAAAAAAAAAAGAGTATTGTGTAGTTGTGACTTGCCAATTACTACTTGATAAAGTTCTCAAAACAAACCAAAAAATTGATATAAAAGAAAAATTTAAAATGGAATTTCATATAACATGTTGAATAAAATTTTCAATAATTTTCATACAGCATGTTCAATAAAATTATAGGAACAAAGAATATATGTTTTATATATATGATTGGCTTTCGTTTCCCTTTAAGTATTGATAAACTCAGTTTTTAAAATTTTTCAAAAGTATAATAAAGTTTTACAGGTAGAGGTAATTTCCATATTAACACAAAGTGATCTAAAAAACATGTTGAATAAAATTTTCAATAATTTTCATACAGCATGTTCAATAAAATTATAGGAACAAAGAATATATATTTTATATATATGATTGGCTTTCGTTTCCCTTTAGGTACTGATAAACCAGTTTTTAAAATTTTTCAAAAGTATAATAAATTTTTACAGGTAGAGGTAATTTCTATATTAACACAAAGTGATCTAAAAAAAAAAAGTGATCTTGAGTTAAGGTAGATTTAACTATTTAAATGTGATAGATTTAAATATTTAAATATTTATATGTGCGGCAGTGGTGTAGTGGTAAGAGCGCTCGCTTTGTAAGCGAGAGGTTCGGAGTTCGACTCCCACCACGTCCCTGGAAGTACCGCGCTCAACTTAGTTTCTCCGCGCAGCGGCCTTGCTTGTCAAGGTTCGTGTTTCGGAGTTAAAGAGTTGAGAGAGGGTTGTACCACGAAATACAACAAAAAATAAAAAAAAAAACACAAAAAAATGAGTAGCCTCCTCGACTGTAGTGGCTCCCTCGGGCCTTGGGGAGGTGAATAATGTAAAAAAAAAAAAAAAAAAAAAAAAAAAAAAATAAGTTGTTTGGTTCACTCGTCATATGGATGAAAGAGCGGCCTATAACTCAACCTAATTTTGAAATTTCAAAAATTTTTGGTTTTTGTTTTTACACCTAATTAAAAAATGTACTACTAAATTTCCAACCTACTAAATTGTTGACCTACTGTAATTTTGACTTACTGAATTTTCAACCTACTGAATATTCAACCTACTCTATTTTCAATTTTATAACTAGACCTTTCCGGTTTGTATTTTGAATATTTTGTTGTTGGTTTGAATACGAACCAAATTTTGATTAGCCTCGGCGCAGTGCTTAAAGCACTGTCTTTAGAATTGGGAGGTATAAGGTTCGATAAATGCTTGGAAAACTTATTGGTTGTTAATTTAAACAATTTTTATAATTAAAAAAATACAACGTTAAAAAAACAGACCAAATAATCGGTTGAAAATTAATTTTATCTCAAATCGATTGAAAATAAAAGTCTATAAAATTGGGCGAAAGATAAATCAATCGAAAACGAAAACATAAATAGGGTGAAAATAAAAAAGAATAAAATTGGTCGAAAACAATTTAGGCATCAGTAGGTTATCTGAAAATAAGTTCCACTTTTTAGCAGATGTTCTTTTTGTAGAACAGCGCAGTACACTCTTGCGGAAAGTGTGGAGTTTTCCTCTACAACAGCGTGTAGCTGTGCAAAATAACTCCACACTGTGTGTGGAGTTATTTTGCACACTTATGTAGAAAGTAACTTTTTCTAACTCGACTTTAGCACAGAAGTGTGAAGTTATTTGCACAAAGTTGTGCAAAATAACTCCACACTTGTATCTATGAGTGATAGCTACTCACCGGTGTAGAGGAAAACTTCACACTTTTCACGAGTGTGTAGGTTGAGATTTTGTTGGTCTAACTGTCTGAAACGAATGGAAGCATTTCCTCTTTTTTTCCCGTAATTTCTGCATTTCTCTATATAATAAGTTTAATGATTATCCGGGTCATATTTCAAAAATCAAGAAAACGTTTTAAGAAAAATATTGTGAAAAAATAGGAATTAATTTTTTTGTTAATTTAACATTTAGCTGGTGGTTTTCTCAATTTTCATTAAATCTTTCTCTATGTTGCTGAAAATTTTTAAAAACAAATTTATTCTAAAAATGTACATTTTATGCACCAATTAAAGTAAAACTTTTATTGTTGCATATCCCCTTAAAATAAAGTTGCTTTAATTGTTGTTATGAAACGTCGATTGCGATCACATTTTATTTTACTTCAAATTTTTTTTTTTTTTTCAAATTTTGAAAAAAAGTAATTAACAACTAATTAACATTTAAGGTGGTTCACCTATAAAAATTTTTTTTTGATAAATATAAGCTCTACCAAGATAATTTTTTTTTAAAATAACAAAATAAATGTTTAAAAATTGAAAAAAAAAAAGTTGAAAGAAATTTGCCTCGATTATCCATACTTTTTTAAACACTTTAGTGTAAAAAAATGAAAATTTTATCACAGGACAACTAAAAATGTTTACATCAGATAGTGCCAAAAATTTACACACTGGTTCTAAACTACCTTATCTCTCATTTGTGCCATGGTTTTTAAAAATACATGCTCCTGTGTGATGATATTATGTTTTTTTTTTAATGATTGCACTAAATATTAACATTATTGCGTGTTACATTGCATAAAAGTAATATATCCTATTATCAGTATTATAAATCCATGGCATAAATGAATTTCTTAACTATAATGAACAAACTGTGAAAATTTCAAGTCAAAAGCAAGTGTTAAACTAAAATTACAATGTTTTGAACTTTTGAAAAATTGTAAAAACTAAAAATCAAGTAAATCAAGTTTAAAATTTTTTTTTTTATAGTTTTAGACAATTACAAGTTGAACAAACGTATAAAAAACCCCCGGCTTCATATCCCAGTTGCTCCCTTTGATTTTCAATATCAAGATACCCTTTTTTTATTGTTCTTAAAATTTTCCAACGCTCTTTAACAGGTTGACGAGATTTGTGTTCCATACGTGTTATTCGAAGAATATCTTGTTTCTGAGTTTTAGCGGCTGTTACAAAATCATCACATTCAAATGATGATAAAACTTCTCTAATACCATTTTCTTTGCAGATCAACAAAATTTCAAAACTCTCTCCCATCTTTATGTTTTTCTGATTCTTACAACCTGCAACTTTTAAAGTCTTCAGTTAACTGTTTCTTTTTTCTTAACCCTATCCTTTGTTTTCTAGTAACTCATAACTTAATAGTGGTTGCTTGCAACCTTTTCAAAAGTGAATGATTCTATATATATATATATATATATATATATATATATATATATATATATATATATATATATATATATATATATATATATATATATATGTATACATATACATATATATATATATTTATATATATAGGACTTTGAAGTACGCATGACAACAGGGGGGAGGGGGTTCGATTTCAAAGTTTTTGGTGTATGTACTTTATGGACGACCCCTTTCCACATTTTGCTTTATGGATTTTTGAGTAAACCTCCACCTCCCTAAAAAAACCTACGCTTTTAACCTACCTACCCAACATTTTATGATTTTTAAATTTTTTTTAAATTTAGTTTTTCTTTACTTTTATAATTGAACCTCTGTCCCCCATCTCATACACGCCATTTGTAGACCCCCTCTTCCCCATCGGAGCATACGTACTTTAAGGACGATTCCTAAGGTGTTTAAAACTTAAAACAAAACCAGGATTGCACTGAAAAAAACTACGCATTAACTAAACATAAGCAACATCATTAAGCAATAAATAACAGTTAACAAAATTTTGCATCCAAACAAAAAAAAAAAAAAAAAAAAAAAAAAAAAAAACGCTTAAAAGATTAAAACCATTAAAAAAAAGTTTGACTATATTAACATTTTTTATATATGTACACAGTATCTCGGATTAATTTATTCATCTTCCATAATTAAGTCATTTTTACGGGAAAGTGCAATTTTAAGTTCATCACTTCTTTGAGAGAGTTCATCAGCTAAACTAAAAATTAAATCAGATAAAAATGACGACTGAGAAGGGAAATTTATTAAAACGGAAAAAAATTTCGTCCAAATTTTATCATTCCAAGATCTAAAAAAAAAGAAATATAAACAAATATAAATGCGTGACAACATTTTTATATTTATCACAAGTACAAAAATGGAATTATTTAATATAAATAATCAAAATAAACAAATTCGATAATAAAATATAGATATTTAAACAAAAACATTACGCTTTGAAAGATTTGCAAATGGTAAGCTTTTTAGTATTCGGATCCATATAAGTATTCATATTTGTTTGAAAAATAAGAAAATGTATTGAAGAAGCAGCGGCAAAGTAATCTACCTAAATACGACCAAAAACAATAAAAACATTAAAAACATTGCAAATTAATATAAATTTTTCCCTACTTACAAAATCAATGAAGTATGCAAGAGATAATAGTCTGCAATTATTTAAGGGTTTTTTTTATATTAACAATATTTATATAGATACAGTTAGCGCGCAAAATAATCGGGCAAGAGCATAAATAGACATAACATTAGAATAAAAAGGACGATTTCTCTCATATTTTCACTGGGAAAAAATAATTCCATTAGTAAAACTAAATAGATTTTTACTAAATCTAAGCAATCAAATCTTAAAAGTTCATTTTATTGATACATATGTAAAGAAAAAACTAAAAAAAATAAAGTAAATTTTTTACTTTAAAAAACTACTCATCAGACTGCAGCTTTTTTTAAAAGAGGTCATGGAAAATTTAATTAGTTTAATTTAGTTTCTTAAAGAGCCTGCAGATAACCTCACTAACCCAGAGACACTGAAAGCTGAGTTTTTATTATTTGAGATTTAGAAACTTAGATTTGTTATTTGATGCACTTAAAACTATAAAACCAAGCTCAGTACCTAGTGAACGCGTAATTTCAATTGCAGGCAATTTTGTGTCCAAAATTAGAAATTTTGGACACAAAATTGAGTAAGGTAACGATTGACAGACGACTTAAAAGATGGCAAATTATATGAATCAGGAAAACAAGATGAGGGAAGTGAATTCCAAAGAACTCATGTTTGAAGAAAAAAGTTAGACAAATAAGAATTTTTAGAGCACTTAGGAACAGTCGCAGTAAAAAGATGAGACATAAACCAATGGCGAGTATCACGAAAATGAATTTTAGTAGATGACACACGAGAAGCTATCTCTTTTTAGAGCAGTGCCCATTATAATATTAACATTACGACAATGTGATAATGGTTGGAGGTAGGCTGCAAGAACAGGTCTATGTTTATTATGTTTTTGTACCTTGTCTAAAAGAGAAAGGGCACCATTGGAAGGTCTGCACCAGATATGGCAACAGTATTCCATACAAAAACGGATTTGAGATTTATAAAGATAAAGAATACTATCCTGAGTAAGAAATTGGCGAGGACGATAAAGAGATGCACCTTTAGCAGATGCTAATTTTGCAATCGATTTGCAATCGATGAAAGGTAGATGACTCATTGACTACATTACCATTCAAAAATATAGGAAAATTTAGATTATTACGATAAAAACTAGCTGAAAAATTTTGAGTTTCATCTGAGTTAAAGCTCACTAGCCACTGACAGCCTTTTCAAGCTCAAATGCCAAGCAATCAGAGTGTGTTGGCTTCTTATCAAGACAAAAATAAATGGTAGTATCATCAGCAAACAATGCCACTTTAGATTTGAGAATTTCTGGGAGATTGTTAATGTAAATTAAAAAGAGTACAGGGCCATGGATAGAACCTTGAGGAACCCCTGAAGTTACAGGATATGAAGAAGAGCGGTGTCCATCGAGGACAACTTTTATACTACTTAATTATAATAGATTCAATAAACTCAAAGACGTTACTCAATGCATCATAAGTAGAAAGCTTAAGGAGAAGACCAGCACGCCAAACTTTATCAAATGCTTTAGACATGTCAATAGTGATAGCCCTAGCCTATCAGTTATTACTGTTAACAAATCAGAAGTAGAACAAGAAGATCAAAATCCATATTGATGATCAGAAAGTAATAATATATAATATATATATATATATATATATATATATATATATATATATATATATATATATATATATATATATATGTATATATATATGAATATATATATACATATATATGAATATATATATATATATATATATATATATATATATATATATATATATATATACACACATTAGCCCATTTTGACCCTCATTGAACAAATTTTAATACGCGGAATGCCGTAAAATATTCCCAAGGTAATGTTTTTTTAAACAAATTTTTTTATTTTTTATTTTAGATGACTACTTATACTCGCACCACTCTTTTAAAGTTTAACAGTTTTACATTTTTTGAGTTTTTACAGGCATTTTCAAATAATCGGCGCAAATAGAAATTTACAAATCATTAACTTTATAATAATGTCATTACAAGTAATGGAAGGTTTTTTATCTATACCGATTGTGCGCATTTTTATTACTATTATTTTTGTTAACTGGTGGATTTTAAAAACGCATAAATTCGTAAAGAAATCAAAAAAACATGGTTTTTAAACACAATAACATTGAGGCCTAAATACACAGCAATTAGAAATTTGTTAGATGCTTTTGATCTCATACAGTTCACCTACTTCAAGCCCTGGCTATTTAAAAGGGGTTTGTACAAGATTAACTAAGTTTCCTGGCTGACCATTATTCTTGTTAACCTCTTGCCATCATGTCGGACACCATCATATAGCCATAGCCGTAAATAAAACTGTTAAGCTGGAGAAACTTTTTATATCATAAAACCATAAAACGTTAAAAAATAGCAAGGTAAAGATAAAACTGCTTCACTTTAAAATATCTTTAAAAAAAAAAAAAAAGAATAAGTTTCTAATTTTAAAATTATTTACATTTAGACTTTTGAGAAGTGCAGAGATTATTATGAACTTGCAGGAAAAAATCAGACCATTATGTAAAAATTAACAAATATGGAGCTGTTTCACAAGCCTTGAATTTCATGAAATTCAAGTTTCATTTCTCTAAAATCATGCAAGTTTTATTCTGAGTAATAAAATACTCAAAGACATCAATAGAATGGCTGACTAAATTTCTCCCTCCAGGGAATCGTGGTTTTTGACCTGCGACTTTTCTGACTCTGCAATTCTTAAAGTAAAACTTAATTTCATAAGTTTTGATATTTTAGACTTATTATTTAAGAATAGTTTGTGTCATAAAGTAACAAATTGTTTAAAAACAATGGTTTAAAATCAGATGTAAAATACAAAGAAAATAACTCCAAACCAATTTTCTTTTCTAATGACAGACTTTTCTTATAACCAGTAGAAATAAAATAAAAATGAAATCAAATTTATCTTGTCAAAAATAAATGTAATAAGTATTTAGCAATGTCATTTTTAAACCTTATTTTATCTACATTGCATTATTTTTACTTTACTTTTTTTATGATCAACAAGACTGTTGGTAGATGTATATTGAGCCTGCTGCAGAGGTGAAATTCAAATCATGGTAAAACCTTAGAGGTGTTTGGTGCTGGTGTTAGCATTTTTTGACCAAGATCACAATATAAAAATGGTAAAAAGTTCTGTATTCAAAAACAAAGGGAGGTCCAAAAAGGTGTAAAAATGGATAGAATCAAAGCTGAAATCCTTCTGAAAGCAGTTTTTGATAAAGACCAACCACTAGGTCTTTAGTTGTATATTTCACGAGACTACTGGTTAATTTTTGATATTCTAAGTCATAGCTTGAAAAAATGCCTACGGATGAGACTCAGACTTTTTGGATACAATGAATTCCAAAACTTTTCAAACCTTTCAAAGTTGCTAACACCTCATCAGAACTCATAGCAAAATTGTAAATCTATTAAGCATAGTTTAAGAAAATTATTTCTCAAAACAGGAAATATATTTCTTGTTTTTTAAATAAATTATAGGGTAGGATATTTATTTCTTAAAACAAGAAACGTAATTCTTGTTTTAAGAAAAATATTTCGCAATAAAAAATTCAATTTTGCTGTGCTTACAGTAAAATTTATTCAAGATAATGTAGAGCGTGTGATGAGCTTGGAGAAGCTTCAGAAGCTACTTCAAATAAAGAGTTCTTGTAAAAAACCATTAAAAAAAGAAAAAGAGTGGATTCAAGGAGCTAGCTACAACGAATGCTTTCTCGTTTTCTCGTTATTGAAAATCTAATAAATTGAATTTTGATCCCATATCTAACTGCAAACGCTGAACCTTAAAAGCACATTTAAAAATTATTTTTTTTACATATTTTCTTGAGATATTTGTCTTAAGCTGAAAATTTATATGTATATAAATATTTATTGCGCATTTGCAGCATTTAAAGGCTGAATTCTGAAGCAAATTTGCTTCAGAAACAATCTGTGGCAGTAACGGATCCAGCATATATTTTGGTGTTTGAGATAGTTAATATGGAGAAAAATCCAAAAATTTGTATGTTTATAGTTATGTCATATAACGATACTTTTTAAAAAGTTGCAATGATTGGAGGCTGGAAACAAAAAAAGCCCTAAAATTTTATCCCCCCTCCCCTAAACATGAAAGCAACAAGTTCATGAAGTAATTTTTTTGCTATTCTTAACTAAATTTATATTTATCAACAAATTTTAAGTATTGTTTTACAATCTCCAAGCATTCAAAAATTATGATTATATAAAATTTGTAAACCCCTCAAATTGAGGGGGGTTCAAACTTTATATGGTTATTATTTATGAACTCTGAGAGATATTAGTATGAAACTTAAAATTTATCAATGAATATAAACAAAGTTAAGAAGTTCAAAAATATTATTTTACCAACTTGTTGTTCTCACGTTTGGGGCAGGGGGAATGAAATTTTATAGCTTTTTTAGTTTCCAGCCTCCAATCATCGCAATATTTTGCAAAGCATTATTATTTGACATAAATATAAACATAAAAATGTTTCCAGTTTGCGCCATGTGTTTGTTAGCTATCTCAAACACCAAAAAATGCTGGATCCTTCACGATCGATCGATCCCTACTTTAGGCTTATTTTTGACACCAAGGAAGCGTAAACTTCCAAGTTAAATGTTTTTCTGCAGTGCTCTGTGATGTGATCATTAGGTATTCTTGGAGCACCTAAAATAATCACAGAAAAAATGTATATACTTTTTAATCACATTGATACACTTGATATAGTTTTGTTTACAACAAAAGATCCAAAGTCCTTTACCCAATCTTTCAAGAAAACCATTTTGGATTTGGCTTTGTTTGATCCAAGGCTCCAGTAAAAGTATTTTGAAAAAAAACATCATTTGATAAAAAAACGAGGCAAAAAAATAAAGTTTGTTGTACTGGAAAAAATGCTAAAGATCAACAAAAATCACTTTACAGTAGCCAAAGTGTTAATTTATCTATCGTAATCAGTAGGCACAACATATTTTTAAATTAATAAGCAGTGTTTTTTTGGTACAGGAACACATAAAGAAAACATTGTTGAACAAATTAACTAGATTTGACATGAGAATCTATTTGCGCCAATGCTTGGAAATCACCCTAAACCTAGCCAAAAATCATAAAAAGTGAAACTTCGAACAATCGGCGAGAATACTTCTATCAAGAAAAAATTAAAAAAAAAATTTTTATATATAAATATGACCTCTATGCCACTCATTATCCACTCTGCATAAAAATTGGTTTAAAAAAATTATAGGATTGGCTAATATATATATATATATATATATGTATGTATATATATATATATATATATATATATATATATATATATATATATATATATATATATATATATATATATATATATATATATATATATATATGTACAGAGAGAGAGAGAGACAACATCTTAATTTAAGAGTTTTAAAACTGTATTAAAACAAAATAATACCTGAAACTTCCATGGACTCCCATGAAACATCTCTGGACATTCATACTCTTCATTTCCACGAGAACCAACAAACATGACATCATCGCAAAAGTTATTAAGATCTATACTTTCATAAAATCCTTTTAATATCAAGCATCGAAGATCAATAGGGCTCACATTATCCCCAGTATTACTAAAAAAATGATTACATATCAAATGATTATATATTATTTTCATGACATATCTCTTTTAGAGATATGTCATGAAAATAATAGTAAAGAGTAAACGGTTAGCAATGGCAGTTTAGTCAACATAAATAAAAAGTTAGGGGTGGAAGAGTGTTCAAGACTTATAGAAATCACACATAAAACACCTAAGTAATTTAAAATATTTTATATATATATCAGGCGCTATTTTAGACTGTTTTCAACAGCATCGACCGTAAATAAAATTTGAGGGCCTTTATTACTATTTTTTAAAACGTTTTTTATAGCAAATAGTTTTTTTGCAGAAAAACACTGATTTTTGCTAAATTTCACAGGGACAGGAGGGTACTTCTGTCCAATTTTTTCTCCTAGAATAGACCCTGTATGTGTGTGTGTGCGTGTGTGTATGTATATATATATATATATACATATATATATATATATATATATATATACATATATATATATATATATATATATATATATATATATATATATATATATATATATATATATATATATATATATATATATATATATATATATATATATATATATATATATATATATATATATATTAGGGTGATGCAAAATTTGTAGGTTCAAAACTTTAGTTGTCCTCAAGCTTGCCCTTGTTCTATATGACAATAGTAGTTATTGGCCAAAATTTGAATCAAATCGGATGATATTTAGGGGTTGCCATGTTTTGTCACATTTTGGTATAAGGTTACAAAAAGTAAAAAAAATATTTTTTATTTTTACATTTTTTATATTATATTACTGAATTATTTATTATCAATTTCTTATTATTATGTGGTGGATTGTGGATGTTCAATGTTAAAAAAATCAATACTATAGTACTACTATGTAATTGCACAAGGCAATAATAAATCAATCATCTTCATCATTCAACAGTCATCTTCATCAGGGTAGACTTTGATGCAACTGGAAATTCCTTCCGGTGAAGATCAACCAATCTAAGAAGAAACTGCTTTTGGTTTTCATCTTTCGTAACGCTTGAGTTAAAGGATGTTATAAGTGCTATGCCTCGTTCCGCGCAATCGTTGACGACTTTCATTTGACCAACCTTGTGCTTCATTTCAAGATATGTTAAATCCATTTTCCACTCTGAAGATTCTTTCATTAAAAATGATTCAGCTTTTTCTTTTCCATTTTTCAAAATTAGATCGAAAAGTTCTGCGGTGCGTTGTGTGACGAAGGAAGGCAATGGGCTGTGACAATCGAATGTGGCAGCATCAAGTCTTTT